TTTCCGGAGGATGAGGCCCAGAAATCAGGATTTTAAAAAGATTCCCAGGTGATTCTAATGTGCAGCCAACGTTGAGAACCACTGTATTAGAGGCTCATTTGTTCAATTACTACAAGTGAAGGATTATTTCACCTAAGTTATTTTTTTCATTAATTTTTGTTCTGCTAATGTTACTATTGGTATACTCCTTTCTGTCTTAGTTTCTCCATTTGTAAAGATAATCTGTTTTTCTGGGTAAAATATAAGTACTGAGAACTCTAACATAATCATCTGCCATTCATTCAGTGGATATTTTTCATTGTGCCAGGCCCAGAAATTAAAAGAACAGTTTCTGACTGCCCAGCCAAGGTCGCTCAGTGGTTGAGCATCGACCCATGAACCAAAAGGTCACCAGTTCAATTCCTGGTCAGGGCACGTGCTCAGGTTGCAGGCTCCACCCCACTGGGGCATATGGGAGGCAGCTGATCTCCCATTGATGTTTCTATCTCTTTCTCCCTCTCCCTTCCTCTCTCTTTAAAATCAATAAAAATATATTTTAAGAAAATAAAACAACAACAAAATAAAAAACAGTTTCTGACTATTGGAAGAAATGAGAAAGTCAGTGTTTAAAATTCCTAATGAGCCCTGGCCAGGTAGCTCAGTTGGTTAGAGTATTTTCCCAATATGCCAAGATTGTGGGTTCGATCCCTAGTCTGGGCACATATAAGAATCAACCTCTCTCTCTCTTTCTAAACTAAACTTAAAAAAAAAAAAATCCTAGCTGGTTTGGCTAAGTGGATAGAGCATTGGCCTGAGGACTGAAGAGTCTCGGGTTTGATTCTGGTCAAGGGCATGTACCTCGGTTGCTGGCTCAATCCCCAGCCCTGGTTGGGGTGCTTGTGGGAGGCAGCCAATCAATGTGTCTCTTTCACATCGATGTTTCCCTCTCTCTGCCTCTCCCCCTCCCTTCCACTCTTTCTAAAAATTAATGGGAAAATATTCTCAGGTGAGGATTAACAAAAATAATAAATAAGTAATTAAAATAAAATTTATCATAAAAATGCTAAGATGAAGACATATTCAGAGGAAGACATTTACCTAACTAGGCTCAGGGTAAAAGGGCAGCTGAGGAAAAGGGGGAGGGGCCTAAAGGAATGTTGGGTGATGGGAACCAATTCTGAAAGGATGAGAGATGTTCGCATGGGGATGAGGATAAAAATGTTCCCGACAGAGGTCTCTGCAAGAACTAACAGCATAGTAGAAACATCTGAGGGACTCTAGATCCGTGTGGTTGGAATGAAAGTTTGATTGGGTGTGAGAATGTGAACCAGTGAAGATGAGGATGTTGGTGGGGGTCTGCATTATGAAGAGTTTTCAACACTATGATAAGAATATTCAACTACATCTAAAGGCAGCTCCATAGTCAACCTTTCAAAGCTTCTCTACTTCACTTAAGCTCACCACCCCACTGCTTCACAAAGAAGCCCTCAGTTTCCTGCTGTTACATTTATAACCCCTGCAACTCCAAGTACTATTGACGAGGAGCCTTTCTTCACTCTCAGGTTAATCTCTCCACTTACTTGGCTCTATTTTTCAGCTTCCTCTATAACAGGGGTCCTCAAACTACGGCCCGCGGGCCACATGCAAATACAAAAATTGTATTTGTTCCCGTTTTGTTTTTTCACTTCAAAATTAGATATGTGCAGTGTGCATAGGCATTTGTTCATAGTTTTTTTTTAAACTATAGTCCGGCCCTCCAACGGTCTGAGGGACAGTGAACTGGCCCCCTGTATAAAGTTTGAGGACCCCTGCTCTATAATGACTCCATCCTTCAGCCTTTAAATATGCTCAAGTCTCTACCATCTTAAACAATCACTATACTAGTATTTTGACTCTTTGTATGAGTGTGATTACAAAGTTAAAGTATACTTCAGTTAAGCAGCTTTATGCAATTCAGATTTTTCATCAGTATTGCTCTTCTTTAAAAAATTGTGATATAATTGATATATTTTTACTCTTACTTATATTCCTTCTACCACCAAGTTTTTTGAAAGAGTCATTACACTTACAACTTCTTTCTCACTTCTCATTCATTCCTCAGTAATTGTGAAGCTAAGTGATGCTGCCATTATGTTGCTGGGTTTATGAGCTTTAAGGGATTCATTGGAGTTGAAAATTTAAATATGTTAATCAAGGCCACCAAATAGATTAATAAATTTTAAAATTGCTAAGACATCATTAGTAAGCACATGTATTTGAATAGGATTCAGATTTTGGCTAGAGCACTATGGTGCTGGTGCACATGTTTAAACTTGATGTTAGACCTTGATGGAGTAAATTAAATTTCATATAAATTTGAATGTATCTATGATATATTCCAGTATGCTTTCCTAAACTCCTCTGGTTTAGCAATTGCAAATCCAAATTTTTAGGACTGAAAAAGTATAAATAGGAACATGTGAAAAAATCACAATATATCATCACACTGGTTAGATTTACGATGCCTAAAATACACCTTCTATTTTGTCAAATAATGTCTCCTGTAATTTAGTTTCTCTGATGGCCATAAGGCTAGATTAGAGCAAATCTGAATCATTATAATATGAGCTTGTAGATTTTGCCAGAGTCCCTAAAAATATTTAAAAAAACTCTTTGAAGCCTAAAACTAATTTGAAAGATTTTGAAATAGCAAAAAGAAAAAACTTTC